TGGCTCCTTGTGTATGTAGATGATATACTCATCACTGGGTCTAATGTTGCAGCCATCTCCACTGTCATTGGTACTCTCAGAGAACAGTTCTCTCTCAAGGACTTGGGTACCATACATCATTTCCTTGGCATTGAAATTAATCACACTCCATCAGGCCTTTCTCTTTCTCAGTCTAAGTATGTTCAAGACATACTCATCAAAACAAAAATGACTGATGCTAAACCTCTCCCCACACCCATGATCTCATCATCTTCTCTCACAAAAAGCCATGGAAGTCCAATGGAAGACCCTACACTTTACAGGAGTGTGGTTGGTTCACTTCAGTATGCTTGTATTACAAGACCTGACATCTCCTACAGTGTCAACAAGGTGTGTCAGTTCATGCAATGCCCCATGGACACTCACTGGAAAGCAGTAAAAAGGATATTAAGATATTTGGCTGGTACCATGTCTTATGGATTACACTTCACCAAAAACACCAGCTCTCATCTCACAGCATTCTCAGACTCTGACTGGGCCAATGACTTGGATGACAGGAGATCCACATCTGGCATTTGTGTATATCTTGGCAAAAATCCAATCTCCTGGTGCTCCAAGAAGCAGTCATCTATTTCTAGATCCAGCACAGAGGCTGAATACAGGAGCCTTGCCCAAGCCTCTGCTGAGTTAATATGGATTACCTCTCTTTTGAAGGAACTCTCAGTCCCATGCACACAGGTGCCCACTGTATGGGTTGATAACCTCAGCACCATCTCTCTCTCTTCTAATCCTATTCTTCATGCAAGAACCAAACACATCGAGATAGATATTCACTTTGTAAGGGATCAGGTAGCTAAGGGAACACTCAAAGTTCATCATGTTCCCTCTGTTGATCAGGTTGGTGACATTTTCACCAAGCCACTGTCTCTACAAGCCTTTGCTCGGTTCAGGAACCTTTTACAAGTTCTTCCTGCCACCTCCATTGGCTTGAGGGGGGATGATAGCATATACGGATTACATGCAAACACACATGAAGACAACAACCTTTTGCCATCTCATCTCAAAGGTGATTGCATGGTCAATGACAGTCAAACAATGACTATGCCACGTCAGCATGCACAAGCAAGAGGAAAAAGAAGAAAGCAAAACAATATAGATGATGAAGATCGAATGAGGACCGTAGGATACAATGATATTGTGATATAAATAGCTTACCATATTTGGAACCCTAGATATATGAGCCATGTAAAGTTAATGTGCAGTTTTTTCATGAAAATGAATTTTCACAATTTCATCATGGTTCTCTTCTCGTTTTTGTTCAAATCTCAGATCTAGTTTTACACTTTCTCAATACTCTCCCACAACCCCCGTTTTCACGGTTTAATTAGTATGATTCAAATTAATGTTACTAATATATTATCAAATTAATTGGCTGTGACATGAACCCTAATATCAATCATGATTCATAATAACTATCTATCTATATGTATATAATATATTTATTTTAACAAATTGAAATAATAAAAAGAATAATGTTAGACAAATCTAATTGTTATGCAGTTATATATACTATATTTTTATTTTTGTACTTGCTTTAAAAAAACATAACAAAAAATATATATATATATATATATATATTTTTTTTTTTTTCTTTCGGTTTCTATATTTTTTCATATTTCATTTTGTGGTATGTGGGATTAGAGCTTGTGCCATTTATCTCGACTTTAATCCAGTCAACAAATGTCCCAGCCTTTTATGTTGTCTCTTCTTTTCAAGACACTTACGTGAGATTTGTATGACGTGATAGATAATGTTTCCCTATTCACGGTGGCCGCATGTTAATATGTTCACTATTTATATGGCACGCACACATTGGTGATGTTAATATGTTCAAAAAATACATCACCAATGTGTGTAAGCCACATAAACGGTAGACATATTAACGTGTGTCCACCATAAATAGGAGAGTACTACAGATGACATGATTAGTCAATATTTGCCTTAATCAACAGTTTATGTGTACTTTCAACTACGAATGCAAAAGGGCTCGAGCCAATAATCCTCAATGCCAAGACACAATATTTGCTAAAATTAAAAAAAAAAAAAAAA